CTAGATCTTTTAAGATTCATTGAAACTCTTCAATGGCATGTTTAACTCGATATTGCTCTTCCATTTGTGACTGGGATACCGAGGATCACAAACCATATGTGAATAATCATGCAAATTAGTTTGACACTCCCGACATCATTTATCATCTCATTTTAATGTACCAGTTAACCATACACGCTCCATTAATCAATGATAATTTTCAGGACACCCATTTCCACTCATTATTAGTCCCACAAATTCAGTTAACCACATACGCTCCACTAACGACTTATAAAGTGCAATGTGCAATTTCATGGATTAGCATACAAATTCATATTTTTCCTAAAGTAACTAAGATTGGGAATTTTAATAAAAAGGTTTAGTTACTTTTTATATCATTATACTTATTAATAAGAATTATTTTATCATTTTAAACCCGTTCGGCTAATATCCCTCCACTAATCAAGGAAGCGGTGAGTGAGAGTGGATACCCGTTCAACTACCATTTTATAGGCAGTTTCCTTATACCCCCTTATAGACTAGCTTCATGAATGAGGCGTGCTAGCGGTTCGAATTACTTAATCTTATACATATAGTAATTATTAAACTTTTAATTTTACATATAGTATAAGGTGTATTTTAAAACTTTTCAAAATACTAGGTTTAAATATTAAATTTCGAAAATTAAAAAATTAATTTTAAATTTAAAATAAACCAAATGATTTAATAATTATCTATTAATTAAACATTTAATTAATTAAATTATATCATATAAGAATTATCTAATTAAATTAATCAAATAATTTAATCCTAATCCATACCCCTAATTTTCGAAAATATGGGTAGGGATTTATCGAATTTTATAATTATCCTATTTAATCAGATAACTGACAATTACCAAAAATAAGAAAACCCTATCAATACTTACCAATTTTCGAAAATTGCATGCTTGGGGAGGAAGGTAAGGATTTCAATCCTTACCTTATTTTTGAAATCTTGAGGGGCAAAGAACCCCCTCCAAATCGAAAATTTTGGAGGCAAGGTAAGGGTTTCATACCTTACCAATTTTTCAAAACTTAGGGTCCAAAAAACCCTAATTTTGAAATCCTTAGCCTAAAGGGCTTAATTGCCATAAACCCTAATTTGATCAATTCAACTACTATAGCAATTCAACAAAAAACAAACCTAACGCTTTTGATACCACTGATGGGTTTTAGGCAAAAAAAAATAATAAACTTGAACACTTAAGTGTGCATGAAACCCTAATAAAGATCTATATTTTCTCTATTGAATATATAACTATGAACATCAAATAAGAAACCTAAGGAACTCTAGGTATTTTTGAAATCTGGAAAGAATGAAGAATAAAATACCTTTTTGATCCTTTGGAAGAAAGCACCACAATTATCGTGCCTCTAGTAGTTTACACCCAAGCTAGTAATGAAGATGATGAGGAGAGAGGGGAGAGTTAATTTTTGGTTTCTCTTGGAATAGGAGTGGCCGAAAATTTCAAGGCTTAAGTGCCTTTATATAGTACAAGTAGGAACCCTAGATAAGCCCAAACCAATAAAATAACATTATCTTATTTTTGGTAATCATCTAGCTTACTAATTATCCACCAACGATAATTATAGAGCGCCAAAAGACTCCCCAAAACCGTCCACCTCTATGGTGGAAGGTTCTGGAGCCTTTTTCTCAACTATTTAATAATTGCACTTTTAGTCCCTACACTTTTAATTAATTCTATTAATCCTAAAATTAATTCCAATTAACTTCTGATTCATTATTAATTGAATATTACAATTTCTAATTAATATATGTCACATAATATATTAATAAATTATTTATTTCAATTTATTAGTCAAATAATAAATCAACCTCTCTCTACAAAAATCATCATGTCTAATTGATAGGTTTGAGGGTAACCAAAAAGGACTTTGCTGCTATCAATTCAAGTTTATACCAATTATAGTTATGGGCTTAGACACATAATCCAACATTATTCACCATGTCGTGGCTACCAGAAATTCAAAACTTGAAAATTTAATACGTTTAAGAGAGACATACCCCAAACTAGGTGTTACAGTTTGCTTGGAAATCAAGTATGACCTAGAAGTCTTCAAATTGTGATTAATGGTTGAGTGCCTCTCGAGGTTGATTAGTTGCAGTGTGATGGCGTTCGCTTCTTTTTCGAGTCGCGTGCTTCTTTCTGAGTATTAATTCAACTTTATACCAATAATGGGATGTTTGTTTGGGGTGTTGTTTTAGTGCTACATTGGGTAAGACGTCAACTTTTCGGAAGTTCCACTTTGGAATGGCTTATGCGTCTGGTTCTGAAATCCTTGTAATGATTGTTGAAGATTCGGGTATGCTCGGTTGTGTTAGTGTGTAGAAGGGAGTGGGCTTGGAAAACCCACAAAGGATTCAAGGATGTTTTTAAGAGAAATTCGAACAGGAAGATTTCAAAGGAGAAATCTAATTTAAGTGGGGGAGAATTGTAACATCCATTTGTAGGTATTCTTTTCATAAGTTAATCATTTAAAATTTGAATTTTGTATGGCCACGACGTGAAATTGGGTGGGCTACGACGTGGTATTAGATGAGGAAGAATGCACATTTTTTATGGGCCATGACGTGGCAGATGGTGGCCACGACATGGCAGTGGCTGGGGTTCAAAACCCTAGATTTTAGGTTTGGTGCCCTATATAAAGGCACTAACTCTTAGGGTTGCCTCATTTGGCAGCCTCCAACCTTTGAGATCGAATCCCCTCTAAACCTTAGCCTCTATATGTGTGTATTCAGTGTGTGAAGCCACTTTTGTGAAGAATGAAGGAAGAAGGAGTCTATTTTGGTGCTTGTGTGCTTGGTTCCAGCTTAGATCTTGCATCTTCATCATATTTATATTCTTTTGGTGGTATAAAGTCTTCACCTTGCTCATTAGATCTCTATATCAAGTGATGGGTCATTTTATGAGCTTTTTGACCCATATCTTCTTGTTCTTGGAGTTTGTGTGAACTCTGGAACCTTTGTGTGCCTCATTTGGTTTCAGGACTTTGGTGGTGGTTAGAAAGACATCTTGTATGACTTAGTTGTGTGTCTATGCTTTTGGTGCAAGCATTAAGAACTTAATAGTCGAGATCTTGGCTTATGGAGATGTCTTAATGGATAGTATTGGAAACTTTATCCATCTAGACCTTGAAAAAGTTCAGATCTGAGATTTAAGGTTGCCAGAACGTGGAGACTAGTGTGACCATGACTGTTTTGTTGTGTAGTTGCCACGACGTGGCCTATAGGTGGCCATGACATGGAGGTCAGCTGGGGGTTAACTTTGGTCGTTGACTTTTGACCATGGATTACTTTTTGTCAGTTTAAGGGTTTTAGGGTGTAAACTGAGATGGTACTTCATTATTGTTGTCAGGTGTATCGTAGTACCTGTCTGCACTATATGAGAGCTGTTGTGTTTAGTTGTTATCTACGAGGTGAGTCTTCTCACTATATCTGATTGTGTGGTATTGTATACATGTGGACCAGTTGGGTCTTATTTGTTGCTTGTTGTTATATGTGAATGAGTTGTTGGTAACTCCTGGACTGTTGTGAGTCCATAGGACTGTTGATAGTCCCCAGGGTTGCTAATAATTTGTAAGGCGTGTTGTTAATCTATAGGGTGTGCTTTCAGCCCACTAAGACTGCTGATAGTCCCCAAGATTGCCAATAACCCATTGTTATGATATTGTTGTGATGTATGTTATATTCAAGACCGTTGAGAGTTCCAAGGCTGCTGATAACCCATAGCTGGTTATTATGTTGAGTTGTATGTGATATTTTGGGGAACTCACTAAGATTTGTGCTTACAATTATAGATTAAATATTTTGCAGGTACTTATTGAATTGCGAAGGCGGGACTGTACACACACATCAACAGTTTTAAGATTCGAAATTCCGAATTATCTTCTTTATAACTCTAATTTATGAATAATAGTTTATGAACAAATATTTTTAGCTGAATGTAACTTTATTAAAAATGGGTGTTTATATTCTTTTAAAAATGAAAATTTTAGTCTTGAATTTGGGATGTTACAAAACCCCCTTAGTGTGGAATAGATCAATAAACACAAATCAGAAAAAGCCGAAAATTTTGAAATTTTACCGAACTTTGACTTTTTGGTCAACCTTTGACTTTGACTTTGGAATCGAAATGTGTACTGTTAATCTGTAGCAACTGAGAAAATCTAAATCTGATCTTAAAATCTCGAAGCACAAAAGAATGTTGAAGCTTCCATGAAATGTGTTTTGGATCCGAAAAACATACCCACTTCATTTGAAACTTGATTTGGAAACATGAACTTTCAGACCCGAAGCTTTGATGCATCGTGAAAAGAACCATTATCTCAAATCATTGATTTTCGGTGGTTATGAAATTGAATTAACAATATGAAGCAAATAGTTTGAAGCTTCATGATCCGAATTGAACAAAATATGAAGCAAATAGTCTGAAGCGTCATGATCCGAAATTAATGAATGAAGAGTCTGAAATCTTATATTGATCCGAATTGATCATGTTGCATTCCATTTGAATCTGAAACCATAGAATTTGAATTCATTTGTTTGATCCGAATTTAATCTGAAACCATGTGTATAGTTACACTCTCAAATCAATTGCCACTAGTTTCATATTTTTCCCATTTGATAAGTGGAAGTACTTATCAACTTTGAATCAGTTTCATACAATTCAAAATAAAGCCATGTTATGAATCATACGAATAATAAGTATTTTTAATTTCTGGAAAATATCTTATTTTAGGAGATTATCTTGTTTCAGTTTTTAATTTGGTAATTAGGATCATTTAGTAATTGAGTCGATTTGGGTGATCTTTGTTTCCTTATTAGAGTCTTTTGTTTATCCCTATTTAAAGGGTAGTTGTTTATGAAATAAAAGTATGCTTGAAGTCAATTGCTTTTAATCTCTTAGAATAGTTTAAACTAGTCTCCTCTCAATAGGAGATTAGGTGTTAGTAATACTCATGACTGTAGGAAGTACAAGTATAGGTCCTGTCACGAGATCTAGATCCCGGGGCGTAACAAATTTGGTATTAGAGCTGCTCGTGATGTCTACTCAACATGAAGAATTGATGAAGAAGCTAGAAGCATTCATGGTCCAGCAAACTCAAAGTACCCTTGAATTGAAGGGGGCAGTCGAAGCCTTGCAGGCCAAACATGCGGCGCTGGAAGACAGTTTATCACAATCCCAAAACAAGGTCAACAAACAAGGGTCTGAAGCAAGTGAGGAAGAAGAAGAGATGGACCAACAATTTGAAGATAGCAGCGAGCTAGGACGAGGAAGGGGCAAGGGCATCGGCACTGGCAACGCACCAGGAGGCAAGATGACGAGTTCCTCCACGGTGTTAGGTCGAGGCAGGGGGTCGTTTGGATCAAACCCCTTGGGAACAGGATGGGGAGTAGGGATGGGGTCGGATTTTTGGCGCAATGCAGAACCACAATCATTCAAACACCGCTGGGATTTCCACAAAGCCGAAGGATCGGGACACAATCGACATATTGAACAAGAACAGGTGCATAAAAGTTGGGATGATTTTGATGAAGGAGGTTACCGTGGCGATCGGGTGCCTAGATTCGCCAAGATGGAGTTTCCGGTGTATGAGGGCAAGGGTGACCCACTCGAATGGTTACAGAAGTGTGAGGACTTCTTCGAAGAACAGCAAACACCGTCGGACGCTTGGGTCCGCCAAGCAACTTTCGCCCTACAGGGCCGGGCAAGCGGGTGGTACCGAAACCTGAGAAGGATGAAAAATCGTTTGAATTGGGTCGAGTTTTCGGAAGAATGAAAAATTCGTTTCGGTCCGCCTATGAGCCTGAATCCCTGAGGGGAGTTAACTCGGCTTCGACAAGTTGGGACAGTAGAAGACTATTGTGAAAGCTTCAAATTGTTGTTGGGTAGGACGACGGGGGTCACACCGGAGCAAAGCATATGGCACTTTTGTGCGGGGCTAATAAACATGATAATATATGAGGTTGAATTTGCGAGACCCATAACTCTATATTATACCATGAATCTAGCAAGACAAATTGAGCTAAGGGTGGCAGAAGCAGGACAACCAATAGGTGTCGGGCCTACAGGAAACCAAACCTCGACTGCAAGCCAAAAACGAGAGTCAGCAGGAAAAGGAGGAGCTGGAAACTACAAACTGAAACACTAAATCCGACCAGGAAAAAACTAACGACTGCAGAAATGGCAGAGAGGCGGGCAAAAGGCTTGTGCTTCAACTGTGATGAAATATTCTCGATTGGGCATAAATGTGCCAAGCTCTTTTGCATCATGATGGATAATGAGGAAAACGACGCTAATGGGTGACTATTGAGCTTGAGGACTAGCTCAATGCGGAGGAGGGGAGTAATGTTATGAATCATACGAATAATAAGTATTTTTAATTTCTGGAAAGTATCTTATTTTAGGAGATTATCTTGTTTCAGTTTTTAATTTGGTAATTAGGATCATTTAGTAATTGAGTCGATTTGGGTGATCTTTGTTTCCTTATTATTAGAGTCTTTTGTTTATCCCTATTTAAAGGGTAGTTGTTTATGAAATAAAAGTATGATTGAAGTCAATTGCTTTTAATCTCTTAGAATAGTTTAACCTAGTCTCCTCTCAATAGGAGATTAGGTGTTAGTAATACTCACGGCTGTAGGAAGTACAAGTACAGGTCCTCTCATGAGATTTAGATCCTGGGGCGTAACAAGCCACCGACTTCACAATTCACATCATATGCATCAGAATTCCATTATAACGAATCAAAAATATATATTCATCCTTGGAACAACCATTTTGACCTTTAATTGGGCTAGAAACGTATTCCAATTTCAGATTATATGATCGCATTTATCACATCGAAAATAAGTTTCCAGCACATGTAGGTAATACGAACCAATCTGAGTGTTCGGATCACTTCGGATAACAAAACTAAGCTTCGAATTTGAATTATCTACAACAACAAAATTCAATTTAATTACCGACTTTAACCTTTGGATATATGCTTTGAACATTGCTTCGGAAGAAATTCCCACAAATTCTCAATTTCATGATGTTTTTCAGATCAAACTAATCACCAACCCATTTCATCATCGATTTTCACAAAAATTCCCACAAATTCTCAATTTCCTCATGTTTTGAATGACCAAATCTTCCAATCCAAGAACATGAGCCACATATAATCAATGATCAAACAATTTCTTGTAGGTTAATCTAAATCATCCTCAATTACAAGTGAACCTAATCCCAAATCGATATAAGCATAGTAAATCGATCAATCATTATGAGTAAATCAAGATCAAGAACAATCAATGATTGATTTTAGGATTCAAATCTCACTTGTCACCAAGGGGAAGAATATGAATGATGAGAACGAGAACCAATTGATAGAAAGAAAGAAGAAAGAATGAGATTGAGGCAATCGATTGAAGAAAAAATATGCATCGAATCAGTAATAGAGAATTGAAGTTGTTTGATTTTATTGAAAAAAGTACAATTAGAATCAGATTATAGATTATTATGTGTGATTCATAAACAACACAGGTTGATGTATGACTTTAGAAAGAGAATCAAGCAGATGAACAAGTTTTGATTTAAGGCCCAATGAAGCAAGACAAAATAATCCAAGAACAATAATGGATCATAACTATGGCCTTTAATCCATATCACAAATAATTGGTCTAAACAAAGAAAAAACACATCTTATAAAAATATTGATGAACAAAGAAATCATAAAACTCACCAAAGATAATGAATCTTCAACTGATTATAACTTTTTTTCTATTTATACATAATAATTTCTTCTTTAAAATATTATATTGTAAAAATATATAAAACATAAAGTGGTTTGTATAAAAAAAAATTGTTGTGTACAAATTACTTATGATCTTTCCTTGAACAAATCGTTTGGATCTTCATGATAAGTCTCTGATACCACTTGTTAAAAAATAAATCTTGAACTGACATGCGAAAATTAAGAACGACATAACGGAAAAGATTTAATTTCTATTATTGATGGGAAAGTAGAAAGAGAAATTAGATCTAAGACTATCTACAAAACTCTCTAACTCTTCATAAAATACATCTTTTAACACACCAAATAAATGAATATAAAAATATGCATGTCAAATGATTATTCTTTCACAAATTATAAAGAATATTACAAACCTCATTTTCATCTTTGAAAAACTTTACACACCGACATGGTAGATGAGAGCTCATACCCATAGCTTAAGAAGAAAAGGAAATATCATACGTGTTGCAACTTGCATAAATTGAGTTAATATTTGCAGTGATGATTGTTAATTATTCTTTTATATTATATTTAAAGGTTTTACATTAACAAAAGACTTTTTATAATGTTGTAAGAATAAAATACAAAAGCTGTCCCCTTATTTTTTGACAACAAGCCTGTCTATTTGAAAAACAATTTTTGTTTGGATTCCATAATTATGATTTCTTTATTTATATGATTGCTCTACTTTAGGTGATTATATATGAAGCTTTGAGAATCACATTTTACATAATTCCAATTAAAAATGTTTAATCTCATATCACGTGGATAATGGTTTCAACATTCAAGTTATATTTTAGAGATATTAACTAACCATATTTTAAATAGACCAATATCTTTCGATGACCATTCCGTAACAATCAAAAGTATATTTTCAGACAATATATATATATATATATATATATATATATATATATATATATATATATATATATATATATATATATATATATATATATATAAAAAAAAAAGGAGGGTTCAATTGACAAAAAAAAAAGGTTGAGAATGGGGGAATCATTCTCAGCCAATCATTTATTTTTGCTGTAAAAGCCTCCAATCATTTATTTTTGCTGTAAAAGCCTCCAACGTACCGGCGGAAATGAGAAAGGAATGCACATGTGTTTTCCAACAAAACATGTTTCCTTAAACTATGCTAAGTATTACCTTAATATATACAAAAACATAGTTTTTTCGTTTTTTTTAGCTTTAAAGAAGTTATTTTTATCGAAAAATGATTTTAAATATACCAAAATTCATGATTTTTTATTCTCTACAAATAGACATCCATATTGATATAGTTTTTAAGATAAAATAAAAAATTTATTTTTTTTATATTTTCAGCTATCGTTATTCATAAGTGAATAAAAATGAATCAGATTTTTACTACAGTACATTCGTTATTCACTTATGAATAAAAACTATGATTAATTTTTTTTACAATTTAAGTATCATTCATATATGAATATAACATATACTAAACATAGTATATTCATATTTAAATATTAGACGATGCATTCACTTGTAAATATTACATAGTATATTCACTTGTGAATGTTAGATGATATATTCACTTATGAATATTAGATGATATTTTCATATGTGAATATTATATAGTATTACATGGTATATCATATGAGAATAGTACATAGTATATTCACTTGTGAATATTAGATCGTATATTCACTTATGAATAATAGTTGGTATATTCATATGTGAATATTGCACAGTATATTCATATATGAATATTACAAGGTGTTTTCATAAATATATATAATTTTTATATGTTATTCACATATGAATAACATACAAACTTGCATATTTGTTTTGTGTTTTAATAATTACATATTGATTCAGGTGAGAAAACATATTCATATGTGAATATAACGTGGTAATTTAGTTTATGCATTTCATCAAACAGTTGGAGTGCATACAAGTTAACTTTTTTAAAAATGTGATAAATATGATACTTTGACTATTTAAATCTTACAAAATAGTAGATTGGTAGAGAAATATATGAAAATTTTCAAACAAAAAATGATTTGATCTTTTTCTAACCTTAATTTCGATGTTTTATTTGATGAACAATGTTGAATGAATGATACGAATTGAATTTTTTGTTGATTATCGATGATGTTGTTCTAATGATGTTGGGAGTATAATTAATCGTAGATGTTGAAGATATGTTCGTATTCAAGCAGAATTGAAGGTTGGATTGAAAGAGCAAAAACGAATGAATTTCAACTGTTATCTAATTCTCTACACTTACGTATTTGTGATTGAAGGCTATTATATCATATTTACAAGTTTGCCACCGTGTCCTTTATGTTTAGAGGCTAATTAAATGAGTGGCTGAGAATGATTCCCCCATTCTCAACCTTTTTTATTTTCTCAATTGAACCCACCTCATATATATATATATATATATATATATATATATATATATATATATATATATGTTCAGGTTCATTTGAGACCATGTTAATTTTGTGAGACCGTGAGACCAAATCTAAAAATAATTTTAAAATGCAAAATAAAAGGAAAAATCCAAAAAAAAAAAAATTAATTATTATTTTCGGAACTTTAATTACCTGAAAAAAATATAAAAAAAATAAAAATAAATAAAAAAATAAAAAAATAATTACCGTTTTTTTTTAAAAATACGTGAAATATTCTAATAAAATATTACACTGTAAATATTCGAATGTGATTTTTAGAATGTTAGAATATTATACTAGATTTCTCAGAATATGTAGAATATTCTATTATTCTACTAGAATATGTAAAAAAAAGTACTTATTATTATTATTTTTTTTTTTTTTGGAATTTTTTTTATTTTTTTTTTTGGAAAATATAAATTCCGAAAATAATATTTGAAAATTGTTTTTTCGTAAAATTTCAATAATTTTGCATTTTAAAAATGTTTTTTGTTTTATCTACCAAATGAATGGCTAGGATTGCGTCTCACGGTCTCACAAAATTATGTCGTTTCACATGAACCTAACCCT